AGGAATTTTTCCCATGTGGCTCCTGCTGCGAGTTGTCTTGACCCGAAGGTAAGGTCGAGGCAGCAATCCAACAGGTGTGTGGGTGTCTCCATTGACCCACCTAGTCAGGTCACATCCACTTAAGGGAGAAGCAAGGCACCAGACCTAGTAGCACAAGCTATTCAGGTCCAACTCACACCCACCCACAACCACTCGTGTATTTATCTAACCTATTTTTAAAACTACACGTTTTAGCCTCTATAACTGTACTTGAAATAAATATACTTAACTATTGCATATGTGTCTTACCTAAGAACCTGTCGGTATTTTATACCATTTTAATATTCACTCTGTCAGACACTGCAACACAATGGTATCTTGGTACAGAACAAAAAACAACTTGGGCAACTTCTACTAGTGAGAATGGCTGAATTGAGAGGGACGTGATCTCCCAACGACTACATTCTTATCTCTTCCTGTGGCCTACATCTCACCTCCTGCCGGTATATAAGGCTCCATCCTGTCACTTCAACTCCGAGTATGTCAGATCTCGTGTTCTACTCAGACTCAACGCCATGAGAGCCATAACGAGGCACCGTGCAGGGGCAAGCAAAGATGTACTTCGCTTGTACTATATACAAGCTATACGCTCGCTCATTGACTACGGTGCTCCGGCGTTAGCTCATCTCTTCCCGCAGAGCAGGCAAAGGGTGGAGGTCGTACAAAATCAGGCGATAAGAACTATGCTTGGGGCCCCCATCTGAACCAACACAGTATTTTATTTTATATTTTTATTTAAAACATAGAACAAATACAATAATGTATAAGAGTATAAAATTAAAAACCATACTAGATATTACAAAACCTCTAGTACACAATCCCGGTACAGAAAATAAACACCATAGATAATGGCCATATTACAACCATATACATAACCCACAACCATATACATAACCCACAACCATATACATAACCCACAACCATATACATAACCCACAACCATATACATAACCCACAACCATATACATAACCCACAACCATATACATAACCCACAACACATCCTACAAACCCTCCTTTTACAATAATCATTATTATTATTTTTTTTTGCCATTTAATACACATTTACTTGAACGGAACAACAGTAAGAACAGAGCTATACAGTGATGCCATAGTCACATGGCATGATGAGTGACAGTCACATGGCATGATGAGTGACAGTCACAATGGCAAGATGAGTGACAGTCACATGGCATGATGAGTGACAGTCACATGGCATGATGAGTGACAGTCACATGGCATGATGAGTGACAGTTCACATGGCAAGATGAGTGACAGTCACATGGCATGATGAGTGACAGTCACATGGCAAGATGAGTGACAGTCACATGGCATGATGAGTGACAGTCACATGGCATGATGAGTGACAGTCACATGGCATGATGAGTGACAGTCACATGGCATGATGAGTGACAGTCACATGGCATGATGAGTGACAGTCACATGGCAAGATGAGTGACAGTCACATGGCATGATGAGTGACAGTCACATGGCAAGATGAGTGACAGTCACATGGCAGATGAGTGACAGTCACATGGCATGATGAGTGACAGTCACATGGCATGATGAGTGACAGTCACATGGCAAGATGAGTGACAGTCACATGGCATGATGAGTGACAGTCACATGGCAAGATGAGTGACAGTCACATGGCAAGATGAGTGACAGTCACATGGCAAGATGAGTGACAGTCACATGGCAAGATGAGTGACACAGCAAGATCAATTTTTTTTAAGTAACTATCAGAAACCTACTTGACTCTTGAAATTGAAACCTGGTGTTCTTTATTTTTGTTTTTGTATATATTGAAAATGGAATCAAAATATGTAAAAAGCCTTTAATAATTAACATAAGACTTGTACACACCTAACATGTATGATTACATATAAGGAAACACTAAGACACTTAATACCCCGACCAACCCCCAATTTAGTTTCTTTAACTAATTATAAACCCACAAAAATATACCTTACTTGTATACAGTGATATTAGTAAAGGTGCTTAATTGAACATCAACTGACTATATGCACCATAAATGATAACAAAAAATACATGTGATATCACTGGGTGACAGAACAACATATTATCCCGTAAGAGCTGCTGCCCAAGGAACTTAAATGTCCAAAGATTACAATATAGGACATTATACATCTCAACCCCCGCCCCCCCCCCCTCACAGTGGTGACCGCTACTACATATACAAAAACAATCTTAAGCAAATGACACTTTTTGCCCTTCATCAAAAGTTTACAACCATCACCAAAGGTCTGCTTATGAACATTCCCCTTAAAGGGCAGTATAACGTTGTACTTTTATCGGTGACATCAGCGAGGCTTCCGCTTACAAATGACTAAACTAAACCATACGGGAATCCCAGGAAAGACCCAACATTCTTCACCAAGCCCCGGCCATAGTCGGGAACCGGTTCAGCCTTGCTAGAGGCTGGAACATATACTGAAATATTGCTTTTTATCTGTATTATCAAAATGCATGACCATTTTATGATTAATCCAAGATCTCAGTGCCACACAACGCCACAACCATACACACACAGA